TGGCCTGGGCAGTGGTTTGGTTTGGCTTGAGTCCGTGGGAAACAAGTGGACAGAGCAGGGATTGTTCCTCCAGGGTCTCCCCCTCCCCATCATCCCCTGGACTTGGCAGCTTCAGTTCTTCCCAGGCCCTGGGGACTTGGGGGCATTGCTCACAGTCCCTCCCCAGGGCCCCTGTTTTCTACTGGACTCCCAGCTGCCCAGCCTCCGGACCTGGGAAAACTGCCCCAAGAGTGTTGAAAGACTGGCTGGAAGTTAATGCCAAGCAGATTAGGAGAAATACAGGCCATGGCTTCCCAGAGACCAACAGCCCTGCCCATTGGACTGGGGGGCCAAGACCACCCTCTACTCCCTCGGGATCCAGGAGTCCAGGTCCCCAGCCCCCTCTGTCCATGGGCCCAGCACTGTCCTCCCTCAGACCTTGGAGCCTCTGCTCTAATTTGCACACCCTGTGCTTTCTGCCTGCATTTCCCCTCTGCCATTACCCTCCTCCAGCCACTAACTGCCCCGTCCTGACCTGGGGGCCAAGGCAGTGCCTCCCTCCCCTCCCCCTACTTTCCAGCAACAACAGCCCCAACCACACCGCATTGTGATGCAGCCCAACACACCATCTAGCTGAGGCCTCCATCGCTCTTCCTTGGCTGTATTGCTGAAATTATTTTCTCCATTTGACTTCCTGCTCCCTGAGGGCAAGGGTCTCCCTGTTAGTGGCCTCAGGATGGAGTGGAGGTCCTGGCTGCTGTGAGTAGGAGCTCAGGAAATGTTATTACTGCTACCAGTGAGGAGGCAGCAGCTAAGGAAACACAGTTACGAAGCTATAATCACCAAAACCCTTTGCAGCTGGGCCAGGACCTGACCAGTAAGCTTTGTGAGAGGCCACATGAGGGCAGGACTGTCTTTCTTTTCCCTGCCGTGTCCCCAGGGCTTGATAGGGTCTCAGTAAATAAATGCGTGTGAGACAAATGTGTAGGATTTGTCAAAGAACACAGGCTTTAGAGTTCTGTCTTCTTGGGTCCCAGCCAACCTGGGCATTGACTTCCGAAGCTCAGCAGTGACTTGTGGTCACCATTCTCCCCTCTGTCACAGGACCACTGGACGCTCACTTAAAGTGTCAGCCCAGCTGAAAGTGTCAGCCCAGCCAGCCATGGTGGCCCTTTCCTGTAATCTTAGCTGCTTAGGAGGTTGAGGCAGGAGGATCGCTTGAGCCCGAGAGTTCAAGACCAGCCTGGGCAACATAGTGAGACCCTGTCTCTAAAAAAAAAAAATTTTAATTAGCCAGGCATGGTGGTGCACACCTGTAGTCCCAGCTACTTCTGAGGCAGGAGGATTGCGTGAGCCTAGGAGTTGGAGGCTGCAGTGAGCTATGATCGTGCCACTGCACTCCAGCCTGGGTGGCAGAGCGAGACCCTGTGTCTAAAATGATAAATAAATAAATTAAAATTAAAAAGTGTCAGCCCAGAGCCTGGACACTGCCAGAAGCCACTGAGGATTCGCTGTATCTGTGATTTGTCATTTTACAGATGAGAAAGCTGGACCTTCGTACAGGGCCATCTCTAGTTGTCATTAATGGTCAGTTATTGTCATTATTCACCTCTTTATTGCCTGGACCGGGCTCCAGGTTAGGGCCACATACATACAGTAGGCACTCATTAAAGGTGGGCTGGACTGAACCCGCCCCTCCATCTTGGCCCCTGAGGCCTCAGACAAGCAGCCACATGGAAGAGAATAAACTTGGTTTTGGGGTTTTTCGTTTTTATTGATAAGAACTCAGAGTTGGGAGCAGGCTGGGGGAGGGGAGCGAAGTCCGCTGCTGGGGCAGGTCTCGGGCTCCGGGGGGTGCTAAGGCCTGGGTGGCTGTCACTGGTCTCCCTTCAGCAGAAAGAGGAGCTGGTCAGTGAAGATGCCTGCGTAAGTACTCACAGCGGCGGTGCTTTTGCTGTACATGTCCCTGGGGAGAAAGGACCAAGGGTTGAAGAGGGGAGGCACTGGGAACTGGACTTCTGAGTCTGAGGGGGGCCAGGCCCGGCAGGAGGGGGCCAGGGCTGAGATGGGAGGAGGCCGGAGGGCCCAGAATCCTGTGTCCTGCAGGAAAAGGTGTCTGGAACCCAAACTCCTGGATCTCTAGCTAGACAGCGCTGGGCTGGCAGAATCCCGGGTTCTGGGGGAGCTGGGAGCTAGGGGCCAAAATACTGAGGCCTTGAGAAGAATAGAAGGTTGAACCTGGACCCCTGGGTCGGAGGGAGGACGGGCTGGGCCTGGACTCCCGAGTCCTGGGTGCAGTTAGTGTCAGGGGCTGGACCCTGTTTCTCCAACTCAGGTGCTACCTGAGTTTCTCATCCATAGTGTTCAGGGGTGTCTTCTGGTACAGGCCCCGGGCGGCTTCCTTGGCTGAATCCCAGTAGCTGGAGAGAGATTCCTGCATCTGCGTGAGCAGGGTCGGGCTGCCGGGCTCATCCTGCTGGGGCAGCAGGGCCCCCCGGACCTCTGCAGGGGGAGAGTGTGTCAGGGGAGCCGCTGGGGCTGCAGCGGGAGAAACAAGGCAGGAGGGAGAGGAGGGGACGGAGACAGGCTTGGGAAAGGACTAGGCTGGGAAGATGCTTGGAGCTCATGCCCCTCCTGAAGAGCCCCCTCCCCCGCAGCCCACACTCACCAAATCCCAGTACCAGGAGCACAAGAAACAGAGCCAGGAAGAATCGGGTCCCCATGGCGTCAGGAGATCTGGAACACAGAGGGGCCACTGGAGGCAACTGCTGCTCCTGCGGTCCCGCCCCACGTGGTAAGGGGCTGGGATCCCTCTCCTTCTTCCCCTCCCTGCCCAAGTCGAGTTCCTAATGCGTTGACGTGGACGTGGCGGCAGCTTTGGGGCTCACTTTCCGACGTTCTGTGATTCTACTCCTGACTCTAACATTTTAATTCTAACATCCATCCATTCATTCATTCACTCAGGAAGGCTTTCTTGGGCACTTCTGGGCCCAGCGGTGAACACAACAAAGTCTCCGCTCGCTGCCTTTTGCTAAGACTCGGTCGGTGCAGGAAGGCTCTCTGCAGACACGGTTAAGAAACCACTCGAGGTCAGGCGCGTGTCCCCCGTGCCGGGCTCTGCTCTGCACCGGGCCTAGTCCTCCCACCTGCTCGTTCAGTCCTCACCCCAACTCCATGCGGGTGGCCCTCTTGGTGACTACTGTTCCCAGGGCACAGTGTCACCACCCACACTTCGGAGATGAGCAAACTGCTACAGAAAGAGGTTGAGAAACGACCCAGGGAGAAGGAACAGCGTGGAAAATATTCTACAGCGGCTGAATTCCGTGATTCCAACACAGGCTTCCGACATGGTGACTCTGGCCATGTCCGATTTAGCAATCTTTGCCCCTCCCTGCTGTCCTCCCCGCCTCCCCCGCTGCGGCCCCTCTCTTACCGGACGCTGGCGGGCCTGTCCTCACTAGCTCCAAACGGGCAGAGGGAGGCTTTATAGCTCGGAGAGGCCCACCTCCCCTCCACCGCCACCAGCCCCGTCTGTGGTCTGGGCCAAAGTCCTGGCCAACAGAGCCGCCGAGGGGGTGGGTGGGGGCGGAAAGGGCAGTGACATTCTCCGAGGTCAAGCCACAGGGAAATGTCACTCTGAAAACTCGCCCTCGAGAGAGACCGGCTGGGTTGGGGGCTGTGGAGGGGTTGGGGGTTCTGGGTGCCCACGGGGAACGGATCTGAGGTCGGCATCCTGTGGCCAGTGAGGGCAGAGCTCCGGGGGAGGGGCCACCGTGGGAACCTACTCACCCCCGCCTGCCCTCCAGCCTGCACCCTCCTGAAATGGAGCACCTTGAAGTCTCCCATCCCCCCCCCACAAGCCCACAATGAGATGGTCATCCTCTGACCCCTTTCTCCAAAGTCCCCCCCTCCCCCCACTGTCTCTCCCTTTTCGGTTGTCACCTCTTCTACTCATTAACTCCTGGGAATAAATGGGGTGGGGTTATCTCCGGCCATGTTGGGGACAAATCCAGACAGGGACACAGATAAGAATTTCTTTATTTTGGATGCTGGGAAAGGTATGAATATGAACATTTTTTATAGATGGGGTCTCGCTATGTTGTCCAGGCTGAACTTGAACTCCTGGGCTCAAGCAATCCCCCTGCCTTGACCTCCCAAGTAGCTGGAACTACAGGCGCTCAGCACCACTCCCGGTGTGTATGAACATTTTAATCCTGGTCCTTGTCCCCACAGAGAAGCCTGGGGCACAGGCCGTGGGCCTTGTTCAGGAGGTTGTCTTTGCAGCTGAGGAGCCAGGCCTTGGTGCGAGGACCCAGGTCCCTCAGGTGGTCAGCATAGTAGGTCTGCAGAAAGCCCTGGAAGGCCCTGGGTTCCCTGCAGGAGAGGAAACATCACAGTGGAGACCTCAGCTACCCGCAGGGGTTCTCTGCCCTATTCACCCCTTCCTCCCTATGATCCAGGAGTCCCTGCTCTCGACTCTCGCTGTCCCCTTCTCTCAGACCCGGGGGTCCAGGCCCCCAGCCCCTCCCCACAGCCCAGGCGCCAGTGCACACTCACCAGAACCACTGCCACCTCTCTCTGGTCTTGGTCACCAGCGGCTCCATCAGCTGCTTGACCCTGCTCTGTACGTGTCTCCAGTGACTCTTCTTAAGCTCTGGCGGGGGGCTCGGGGTTCCTGGAGGCACGTGGGTCTGGCATGCTAGGTGGAACCAGAGGGCACCTTGGCTGGGCTGGGACCCCAGAGCCCCCCTCCTTCCTTTCCCTCCATGCTCATCCTCCGGTGCTCCCGGTGGCCCTTGCTGGTGCTCTGGCCTTGACCCTTCACCTTATGTGTCCATCTGCCCCCGTCCCCCTTCAGCCACCAGTCATCTCCTTTCACCCTGCGCCTGTGATCCCTCCTGTCCCCTCTCCGTCTGTAACTCCTCCCCCTGTCTAATCACTGTCCCCTCCTGATGCCTCCTTTTGCCACCTGATCCTGCTGCCCAGGAATGTCCCCTGCCCCCTTAGTTCTCCTGTGACCCCCCACACTGTCCGAGCTGCCTCCGTAGGCAGTGGAGGGAGAGCACAGGGTGACTTTCCGCCCCCTGGGGTGGACGTTGGCTTAGCAGGAGGAGCTGTTGGTTCCTCCTGCTGGGCCAGAGGTTCCGCCACCACCAGTTGGCTTCCCGACACACACCCATCAGGCCAGCACCAGTTGGGTTCCCGGCACACACCCATCAGGCCAGCACCCTGGCGTCTAGACAAAGCCTATAGAGTCCAGATGTCACACAGGTCACGCTCGGACAGAGGCACCCATGTGACCTGCTGTGTGCCTTGGCCAATGACTTAACCTCTCCAAGATTCAGTTTCCCCTTCTGTAGAATGGGATAATAATAGTACCTAGCTCAGGGTGACCGTGAGAATTGAGGGTTAATGCATATGATGCACTTAGAATGGTGCCTTGCGCGTTGTAGGCACTAGATATGTGTTAAATAAAATTTATTA